ATCAAAGGCAGATGATGTCTTAAAAGTGCCTCTTCAAATGCCTATAGGCGTCAATAGAAAGACGGCAGCTGATTTTAACGGGCTTTGGATTAGGCCCAAAAAGAATCAGCATGGATGTGGTCCTTTCCATCAACATAAGATCACTGCGACCAGTCTCATAATAGAGCTAAAACCAGACTGCCTGGGAGCCAGAGGATCTGAAGATTTGAAGTGTTGCTAAGGCTCTCTGGCCTCTTGGTTCAGCTGTGGTGGTGCTCATCCCTTTTCCTCTGAGCAGCAGCGCTGCCTTCTCCTCCTCTGGCAAGATCCCTTGTGGACCCTCTTTAATGTGTTCCCTCACATTTTCTCCTCAGTGTGATCCTATGTGGTCACTCCTTGGCACATTATGTCACAGTCCTTCCTCCTCCTCCTCCTCAGTTCATTCTCCTCCTTGGTTCAATCACTTGCTGACTCTTACCCTCCTTGTTGTGATCCCTTGCATCATTTCTTTTTCACTTCCATTATGATTCTGTCTCTTTTGGACAGTGCCTCACAGTTTCTCCTCCATGCATTCTCTTCTCATCCCTTTTCCTCCTCCGTGGCAGTCACTTGTTTTCTCTTGGTGGCACGTCACCTCCCCCTTCCATGGTCAGTTCTTTCTCTCACTGCAGTCTCACCCAGGGCCGGCCCACAACATTTTGGCACCTGAGGCAGGGAGCTCAAATGACACCCCCATACCTCTTTGCTTGGGCCAAAACTTTGCAAGGTCTCAATTCTGCCTTCTTCCTGTTCTACTCCTCTCATGATATTGCTCTGCTGCCTACATATGCACCAGCAGCAGACACAATTTTCTACGCTCTGGGTCCTAGTGGCGCCCCCCTCACACTGTCTGGCACTTGAGGCGGCCTCCTCAGTTTGCTTCATGGTAAGGCCAGCCCTGTTCTCACCTGTCTTTCTCCATAGCCCTGTCCTTTCAGACTTCAATGGGTTATTGAGTGAACCTGTATTGGCTTCCCCAGGCTCCCCTTTCTCTGCTGATTTGTGGACAGGAGTGGATAATATCCAGGCCCTGTGGCATCTTCTCCTTTGGTGAGGTTTAATCAGGGATGAGCAGCTGGTTTCATAGCATTGCTCGCATCAATTCATGTGACGAGGTATATGAGAGACAGCAGCGTCTGCACTAATTCTGATCTGCCCAGCCAGCCCCGTGTGGGATCCCATGTCCCTGCATAGATTGTTGGCTTCAGAACAAGGAGAGCAAGACTCAAGAGATGCAGTTTGTGCAGTGGTGACAGTAGGGATTGGGTTTTGGGACTCTTGCCTCAATCCCTGGCTCTGCACTGTGTAGCTTTGGATGAATCACTTCCTTCTCCATCGTTGGATTTTCCATCTGTAAAGTGGAGCTAGTAATAACATTCCCTCAGCTCCCCCTTAGTAAATTGCTCTGAGCTCCTGTGCTCGAACACATCAGACTGTCAGTAACAGGCCAAGCTCTCTTGGCTCCATGTGCTGATATCCCCGCCGCTTGCTTTCCCCCTCACACACACGTGGGGAACAGCATCTCCCCAGGCCGGAGTGGGACATGAGTCTCCCAGGAGCATCACCTTCATTCTGAACCCTGATGTTGAGGCACTTGCACAAATCTGGAAAGAGAAATGAGCCTTCGGATAGCAAGTCCTAGCTCCCTGCAGTTCACCCCAGTTTGCAGACATTGGCGGCTAACCCTGGTGTCCTGGCCAAGCCCCAGCTCTGGGATTCCGTGCCGTGTGTGTGTATGTGTGTGCGTGTGTGAGACAGCTTGGACACCATTGTTAATGAACAATGCTGAGGTGTGTGCTTTGAAATCCTTGCCAAAAGGAGGGCTTGGGGCCCAGCTATGCTGGAAAATTCATCCGGCTTTGAACCCATTTTCCTTTTCAGTGAAAATCTGGGTGGGCTCGCTTAGCTGGGCCAGCTGCTGGAGAAGGAGAGGGGCATCCTTTAAATGGATTTTGGCAAACAGATGGTTCAGGATCCTTTTGTAGACCCTCGCTCTGTCCATCCACTGTGAGAGCCACTATGGAGATCAGTTGCTGAAAATGATTTGAGAACATGGTCACTTTCCCCATGTGGAGGAGGGCAAAGAATTATTTATTCCCCATCACAGTGCTGTCCCCTGCGCTAACCTCATTCCAACCCCATGACACTCTGTGACAGATCACTGATGGCCGCTCTGCCTTCCACTCAGGAGCAGTGTTAATGCTGTGAGAAGTCTGTCCCCACTGCACACATGCTGCTGCACTGGACAGCTGGGACAGAATCGAGTTCCTCACATACCACTTCAAGGCTAGTTTATTTTTCGTTTTGGGGGGGAAGGGAGCAGGAGTGGGCAGCTTGGAGCTTCAACATTTGTCCAGCAATAGTGTCACAGAGTGGCTGGGGCACCAAGACAGTGGGAGGGTAGGGGTTACAGATGCAGCTAGACTCCATCCTATCTTACCTACCTTTGTGCACGTTGTTGTGCAGGATTGGTGGCAGCTTGGGCACCTAATTAGGTATCTAGTCCTACAATTTGACATCATGTGGGAGGACTGTGGTTGACATTGCTTTCGGGGGGCTCCATGCAGATGTGGTGAATTGCAGGCCTGGGGTCTATAATTTTCGAAGCAATTAAAATACATGCATTTTTGGTCATGCTGTTATCGCTATGTTTGCAAATGTGTTCATGCTGTTGTGTGTCTTCTTTTAAAAAGATGCCCTTCAATAAATACCCCCACCTCTGAACATGAAGGGCTACATTTTTTACTGACACAACTCCACTAGAGTATCAGAGGGGTAGCCGTGTTAGTCTGAATCTGCAAAAGCGGCGAGGAGTCCTGTGGCACCTTATAGACTAACCGAAGTGTTGGAGCATAAGCTTTTGTGGGCAAAGACCCACTTCGTCAGATGCATTCGTGCCACAGAACTCCACTAGAGAGAACATTGGGGCCAGTACAATTTGCATCCATAAATGACATCATTTATAGCTGCAAATAGGTTTTGAGCATCTAGGTTCTGCTCTGCTGCCACAAACACCTGTGCCAACCAAACTGGGGTGCACATTTACAAGTCTTTATGGAAATGTGGTGCTGAAGTTGTTGGTTAATGTGCTACTCTAAAATGTTTTGCAGGCATCTGAGTGAGAAGGACTGTTGAAAATGTAGCTCTACAGCAGCAATACCAGAGCATCTCTCTGGCCACAGTGAAAGGAATGTGGCATCTCCTGGTGATTTAGACAGCTTGGGTAGTTTTACACATAGGAAACTTTTAAAAATGTGTTTCCTCCCAGAGCCTGGCCTTTTGTTTTTCAGCCATGCTTGATGCTGTAGTTGGAAAGCTGAACTCCCCTGAAGTGAACTTCCTCCCCTTCTATAAGCTGACCCCTTGTAGTTGCTATAGCAACTGCAAAGAGGATAATGAACTGTGTAAACACTCCCTCTCTCGGTTCCTGATATTGTGACTTGAGGGAGACTCTGAACCATGGCATGTGTGCAGAAAAGTGGCTCACGTGGAGAGTTGTGAAATGCAAACCCAACAACTTCTCTTCTTCCTCTCTACCTCCCCCAAAGGGAAACAAAAGCAGTAGGACGGCAACAGGCACAAACATGTCGGTTACTGAAGGGTTCGAGCACGCCATAAAGAGCCACAGAAATGAAATCCAGATATTTACCTTCAGGATTTGAGTCTGAGATAGGGAAGGAAGTGTATGGCGAAAGCCACCAAATCAGATTCATGTGACATTTTTCACTTATTGTTGAGCTTCCATCAGTGCTGGGGAGCAGTTTGCTACCAACATGCCTGCAGCTCCTTCCATTTAATTAATCCAAGCAATTAACTAAGCGTGAAATCCATTCGTTTCTGGGTCCTTGGTTGCCTACTTTGATGTCGACTTTTTTTTTAAAGTGTATTTTATTATTGTCTGTGTCTGACTCTCTGGACTGGAGAATAGTCTCTGTGCTTTCCAAGTACTGACGCTGATGTTTGACTCCGGTTGCAAGGTGCTCCTATTCTTCTCATCAAGGGTATTAGGCAACAATGACCCATGCAGCATGCTGAAAATACATCACAGGGTTGCTACCAGGAAAATATTTCACAAGCACTGCATGGCTATTTGTACCTCAAGGCCAGTACAAATCTTCTCCTACAACTGCAGGTAGTTGTTAGCCATGTATCTGGGGCTACAGATTTTGAAATGATCTGTGGAAAGAGCCTTAGGGTGTCAGGTCACCAGTGGGTATTTGATCCAATCTGATCCCCAGGAGCACCAGTCCCCAATCATCCTCGCCATTAGAAGCCCGGCCCAAATCAGTCAGCTCCCCTCATCAATCATGCTTCCTCAAAGAGGAAAAGAAAATGTACCTTTCTCAGTTGCATGCAGCACTCCTTTGGTCCCAGACACGCCTCCAATTTGGCTGGATTGAGCAACTGTACTCTCCTTTTCCCTGTAACCCAGTTCTGATCTTATGCTGATAAGGCAGTAATTATTTACAGTTGCAGCTCTGGAATGTCCTTATGTGATTTTGAAGCAGCGATATTAAAGTCTAGCTGGCTTTATGCCATTGTATTGCTCAGGCTTTAGTGTTGATAGATAAAACTTTTGGTGTAGGTACATGGGAGACTGATTTGATGTATTGTTGATACAAAAGAACAGCACAGTGGTTGTGCAAATCACAAAGAGCTTTCGTATGCAAGAAATGTCTTTTCTATAGACAGACATGATTGCAAGCCAGTTATTATTTAAAAAAGTTATTAGAGAGACAAAGTGGGATGATGTAATATCTTTTGTTGGACCAACTTCTGTTGGTAAGAGAGACAAGCTTTGAGTTACATAGAGCTCTTTCTCAGGTTTGATGTAAGAAGAGTTCCAAGTAAGCTCAAGAATTTATCTCACTCACCAACAGAAATAGGTCCAATAATATATTTTGTTGGACCAGCTTCTGGCAGTGAGAGGGACAAGTTTTCAAGCTTACGCAGAGCTCTTCTTCAGCTCTGGCCATTTTATTATTTTTCTTCCAGTGCATGGGAGCATGTGATGATTTCTTGTCTGAAGCGGTCCCTCTTCTGGAGTACGTGAGGTGCAGTAAGTGGTTTTTCTGAAGTCCTTCTGCAGAGTTGTTCACCGTATTGGGAGTAATACGTGGTGGTTAGAGGATTATAGATGGTGTGACCTCTGGGGATGTTTTGTTTCTTGCATTTGATCAGGAAGTAGATGTTGCTGTTAAGCTTTGCTTTTTTTCCCTTCATATTGCGGAGTTTCAAAATCAGATAACTTCCACTGTTGCATGCATGGTCCCAGAATATGAGAGAGACCAGGTGGGTGAAGTATTATCTTTTACTGCACCCATCTTGTTGCTCTAATATCCTGAGACCAACAGTGTGTACAAGTTAACTTGTGTATATTCCTAAGTGCCACAGGGATAGTGTCATAAAGACCTGTAAAGTACATCTTGGTTGGAGACTGGTGAGGGGGCACACTGAAAGTGCTTAAAGGCACATCTTTGACAGATCAGTCTTGGTGAACACAAGAATACATGAGCTGACAATATAGTTTGTTAATATTCAAAACTCCCAGCACTACTGAACCTGGAATTATGTTTCAGCATCTTTGTGTGTATGGGGACCATTGACCAAACTGATCAGAGACTTTGATCAGACATTTGCATTTGGTTGTGGACTCTCTAGAAGTTCTACATTTCCTTCCCTTTTCTGCCCCACTTTGCACGGAGTATCCATGAGCAAAGGTAGTAGCAGAGCAGAGGTTTGGAGGGAGCAGGAGATTTCTGGGAGAGTGCTCGTCTGGAATCTTAGGCATGCTCCTGTGGCCCAAAGATTGTGATTAGTAGCTGAGAGAAACAGAGGGTCTATGGAGCACACTAATCTGTCTCCATGAATCATTACATCTGGGGGATGGGGTGGGGGAGGATAGGGGCGGAGGGAATCCCTAAAACATCACCCTTGCCTGCTGTAAATGATGGCAAGGGGGTACTGTACTGAACAAAGTACAGTTATCCAAATGGATTTCTATTATGCTTAGTACAGAATACCCAGGCCCTATAATACATCAGCCACTACAGATGGCAGGAACTGGATCTGATTAAACAGGCTCTCTGAGTCATTTAAATAGACAGTTGAGAGGGAGACAGTAGTGCTGGGATGCAGGGATACATTGATTTGCACCCCTCTGGCTTTCGTGTTGATACAGCATTTAAAAATAAATTAGCTGAATCACTTGGTGTGAGTACATGGTCTTTCCTGCCTTTGTTAAACAAGCTTCTGGACTCACCACTCCCAGCTCAGAAAACATTCCAGCATCAGACATTGCCATGAGCCTTGCTGTATTAATGCAGACAATTCAGTGAAACTAATTAATGTGATAATGACACGGATGCTGCTCTTTTCCCTGGAATTAATGACACATGAATAAACAGCCTGCAAATCTGACATTCTTTTAAAGGCTCAGAAAGTGTGACTTGGGCCAGATGCATTTGTGAATACCTCGGGACAGGACGACAGGGTGGAGAAGCGAGGGGGAGGGAAGTGGGAGAACATACAGTTCAGATTTGCTATGGCAACCTGGAGAGCGCCAAACTCTAGTAAACCACAGTTCTAGCAAAGTGAGTTTATCAGTTTTCTTTGCATGAAATCATAAGCCAGCTGGGTCATGACTAGCGATGGGGCAGCCTCAAAAGATTTAGAGTTCATGTTCAGTTTGGATAAGCAGTTAAAAGCAGGGATGCTTTACAGGCCATCCAGACTTCTTAAGTGTGCATAGCTGGCCTGTAAATCTCAGAAAAACAGGCTTCCTCATGAAACATGTGGTAATTCTGCTTACAGTGCCAAAGTCAGAGGTGATTTGTAGGTCTAGCCCATACTAGTCATTTAGGTTGATAGAACTTCAAAGAGTGTGAAAAATCCACATCCTTGATTGACGCAGTTAAACTGACCTATCCCCCCCAAAAAGGCCCCCCCCCCCCCCCCCCCAGTGTGGACAGTGATAGGTTGATGGGAGAATTATCCTGTTGCTCTAGCTACCACCTATAGGGGAGATGATTTCCTATGCTGACAGGAGAAGCCCTCCCTTAGGGCTTAGGTTAGGTATCATATTCACTGACATGCTACCGTGTTCGAAGTGTAGATGATCCATGAGACTCCTTAATACTTTGACTGCCCTGGGCCTACTTCACCCACTTTGAGAATGCTTAAGGGATTCTAAGAGTTGTGGAATTGATATGCCAAAGAGTCATAAGTAGATGTAAATTAAAGTTATGCTTAAGTACAATGAGATTCAGTAGGTCTAAATTTGACTGTTTAATTTAAGTTAATTTAAGAGAGTCTTGTTGACACAACCCAGGCCTGCTGATGGGAGGGGGAGAAGGAAAGGCACAGTTGCCCCAGGAGACGATGATTCAAAGGGACCCAGGGCTCCCTGCTGCCACTGCTGCTACCACGGCATCAACAGTGGCTGAAGCCCCAGGCCCTATTAATCACCACCAGAGCGCCACTCTGCACATTCTGCATGGTTCTGAGAGGTGGGAGGGGGCCAGTGGCATGCTCTAGGAAGTGAGGCGAGCTTACTGCTCTGGCATTGGCCCCACCCCTTTCACTCAAGACCCTGCCCCTTCTGCCTGAGGCCCCGCCCCTTCTGGGGCTGCAGAGCTGACTGTCCTCCACACACCTTGCCAGGGGGTTGGAGAAGCTGTTGGTTCCCCTGACACCACCTGATGCACCACCTCTGAATTTGGCCAAGTCTCAATGGCGAACGATCCAAGAATGCCTTACCTGGTGTGTTTTGACACGTCAGTTTTTAGTTGTGGAGAGAAACTGGAAACTGGCAGGGAATTTAGTATAGTTGGGTTCTAAAAAATGGGTTAAGGTTCAGGATGAGGATGATCTGTTATGCTATCCAAGCTGGAACAGCCCCCCTACGGTAAATGTGATATTGTGGAGGAAAAAGCCTCTCTTGAGCTTTCTTATTCTCGGCATTTGGACAGCTTGCACTGCAGTCAGCTGTTGTTTTCTGTAAAAGCAGCAGTTCCTGTCATCATTTTCAAACGTAAGTTAGCAGCACAGCTCTGTGAAGGAGACGTGCAGAATGGCTCATTCAGACGCTGCACACTCACAGGTGATCTTTAGACCTGCACATTTTCCAGTGGAGCTGGCAGCTGCTCATGTTGTTCATGCTTGGGTGACTAGCCAAAGAAGGAACTAGGTGGGCATTTATCCAGTTGAGGCAGTTTCAAGCAGCTGAGGCAAGGAGGAAAATTACCAACTCTGACATCTGTTGCTCCCTACAGGTCTCTTTTATTATAGCCTGGCAAGTTGTCAAGGTGCACGGACATGACCCAGAACTGTTACACCCCTTGGCAGTCCCACCCCCTTGTCATAGGTAGCAGTTGCAGTTCCCATTTTTGACATACCAGGAAATCCTGGTTCTTGCTGTTATGAAGTGGTTATGGCACAGTTATATAACCTGTATTTGCCACCAGTAGTACTTGTACAAAAAAGTTTACTCGGAATGTAATGGAGCAGAGCAGCGTATAAATACGTGCCTTTATATACACTAGTGAAACCTAGCTTAAGAGGTCAGCAAAAAATAGTTGTTTAGTAGATGTGCTATTTAACTAAAGGTTAAACAAGTTGCAATGGAAATCTTGGGTGCTCTTTAAAAGTGGTTGGTCAGTAGAGGGGAATGTCTCTTGGAAGTGGTCCTTATTGCAGGTTTTGCTGTATTTAGGTATACATGCTAGTTATTAATAACTATTATTTATATCACACTGTAGCTCTTTGTCCTCTCAGGACACTTGAGAAGCCAATTCTATGTTTAGCCCCCACCCGTGTAGGCCTCCTGCTCTCTGAGAAGCAACGAGGACCCAAGGTTCAGTGGCCTGCAATGTTTGTCAGTAGTTTGTGAGGGCAGAATTCTATTTATCTATTTCCGAGAACATTTGTCCCGCTCTAGCTTGCCAAAAAGAATACAGTGCAGTGTAGCAGCCATTCAGAGTGATGGTAAATATTTGTTCCGTGTGCAAATGCTTCTTGTATCCACATGAGATTCTGTTGATGCATTTTTTTCTGAAAGGGAAAGGATTTTGGTTGTGGTCTGTGATGTTCCACGATATTTCGTTTCAATGTAACTGAGCAGAGCGCGATGCTTGAGAGAGGTAGTTTCTTTGGGAGTATAATGTGTCAAATGAATTAACACCACTAGCATTCCCCTTCCTTCCCTTACCTGTGAGTAGTTTGAATTACAAGTACAATTTGCAAATTCTCTTTCTTGGGAAATCCCCACCACTCACGTTTATTTTGAGATTTTGTCATTTGTTTTTATAGTCTTTCTACTGGCTATACTTCCATCTCCTGGTATGTATCTCCACTAGACTTTAGTACTGTGCCTTTATCAGTCCCCCCCCTCCCCAACCGCATTTATGTTTAAATCTCATACTAGATTTTGCTAGGGTTACATCTACTGGCTTCTCTGCTCCACTAAATCAGCTCAGCCACTGGGAGGACTAGAAGCATGTGTGGTTCCTGTGATCAGCTGGCAAGATGCAGACTTGCTGGCAGGGTCTAGTCACAACATACAGTTTGAGAGATGAAGGGACCAGAGGCATCACAGAAGTTTTAAAATTATTACAGTCTGCTAAAGATGGAGCTGATGAAGATGCGGGGAGACAGATGAGGAAAGGACATTGGAATGCAAAGGCAGATCAAAGAAGGGGAGGTAGGGAATGGTGAGAGAGGTGAGAGAGAATAGAAGGGACAGAGAGCACCAGGGCAAGTGATGAAAGCAAATGAGAGAACACACGGGGGAGAAGAAGATGAGATAAATATGGACATTAAAAGATAAGGGGGCGTTTATAAGGGCCTGGCTCACAGGAAAGTGGGTGAGATACTAGACTCTATTGTCTGGTCCCAGACTAAAAAACAAGGACTTTTTTTTTAGGGTTGTGAATCACTCAAGTGCTTGTGCTTTTGTTGTTCTCTGTCTAAAGCAGTGGAACAGATCAAAGCAAGGCTGAGTTTTGTCTCTCCCCCCTGTGCTTCTCTGTTCGGTGCCCTTCCAACTTGTAGTTCCGGTGA